CTTTAGAGTTTAGGTTTCGTGTTTTTTGCAATCGAAGAGGCCCGGAAGAGGCTAGGGGAGGCCAGGCCAGCAAGGTTTATTGTTACCACTTGGCTTCCCCAAACTCTTGTTCTGACCCAGCGTCGGAAACCCTAAACCCTAAACCCTAAACCCTAAACCCTAAACCCTAAACCCTAAACCCTAAACCCTAAACCCTAAACCCTCAGCTCCTTGGGGGGGGATTTACACGACCTTGAATTAGAAAGGTTTCGCTAAAGCTTGCAGCTTGGAACTCGGTTGGCATTGGTGGTTGCCAGGCCTCCCATGCAAGACGAGTCCACACCGCACAGGGTTTAGGGCATTAAGGGTTTACGGTGGAAATGTTGGTGGGGGTGGTGAGTTTGGGTGGTGAGTTTGCGTGGTGGAGAAGTTGGGTGGCAAGTCGATGAGCACATGCTCCATGCTGTGTTGGATGGAACTGGCGCCCCCCCTCTGTGATGATCGTGCCAGTGGTGGTGAGGTTGCTGAGCCTGTGGGCTGTGGTGGTGAAAGTCGAAGTCGGGGAAGAGATGATGAGTGGTGGTGTCCCTCTGGATCCTGGTGGTGGAAATGGTATGGTTGGGGGGGGGGGGGGGGAAGCCAAGTGACTGTCGTAATGATCTGGGATGGTGGGCCCGGTAGTCCTTGTGGTGAGGGTGACGATCAACCAGGTGCAGCGAGCGCTTGATTGGCTGGCGCCGTCATGTTTACTGTTGAAAGGGGCGACGGCAGCTTTGACAAAGACATCACTGCAAACCAACCCTAGACTCTATGCCCTAGACCCCAAACCCCAAGCCCTAAACCCCACACCCTAAACCCTAAACCCTAAACCCTAAACCCTAAACCCTAAACCCTAAACCCCAAACCCCAAACCCCAAACCCTCAACCCACCCTTCCCATGTGTCGGGCCGGTCAGAAACGATCCGGCAGGCCGAGTGCCACATGGAGATCGCTGCCATGTACAATGCCGGCCGGATCACGCTCCGCAGTGGGCGACTCACGGGATTTTATTTATTATGTTTTTTTTTTTTTTTTTTTTGGGGGGGGGGGGGTTCTGTATAGTTTTTTTTGAGTTTGGGGTTATTGGTGGTTTGGGGTTTCAGGTTTAGGGTTTCGGGTTTCGGGTTTTCGGGTTTGGAGTGCTTCGTTGTGAACCTTCAATGAGACGGTAGACAGGGAGAAAGTTTCGGACGGGAGGATTCGGGTTAAAGTTGGAGGGTGTCAAGTTTGTAGGGCTTCAGGGGGGTTAGGGTCTTTAGGGTCTGAGGGTTTACGGGTTTGGGGTTTGAGGATTAGCTTGGTAGTTTGATGGTCTCCAGGGTGTAAGGACTAGGGTTCAGGCTTACTTTGGCGGCTCATAGCACAAAACTTTGCGGTTCTCTACTGTAACTTTAGATCCTTAGCCTTTTTGGGTTTGTTGGGCTTCTTAATAAGACCGCTACAATCTAATTCATAGCTACCCTCCTAAGTGCAGCCAAGAAAATGGGGCTGTAGAGATCGTGGGGTTGAGGAATGAGGGCTCAATGACCCTCGTTTCTGAAGGACTTCGGATGTTGGGATTCGGGATGGTTTTGTGGCTCCCAGCCCCCTAAGTTCAATGATAGACAACCGGCCCAAACCCCTTGAACCCTTAAACCCTTAACCCGCGTAAGCCTTAACACCCTTCAGCCTTAAACCCCGAGCTTCAGCCCTGAAATCTTTATCTGCACCGAAGGCTCACAAGATCTCCCAGTGAACCCTTTTTCCGCTTTCAGTCATGGGTTCCTGAAATCAGGCTGCCAGTATCAAAAGTGAGCCGGAGGGACCCTCCATTGGGTTAAAAGACTTGTAGCGCTTAGGATAGAAGTCCCTTTCCTGCAGCTGATGCAGTAAGGTGAGCTTGAGGACCAGATGAACCCTTAGAATTGTGGTCATATAATATACCCTAGACTACCATAATTCCTACTAAGGTATATGCACCCGAAACCCGAAACCCGAAACCCGAAACCCGAACCCTAAACCCTAAACCCTAAGTCCTAAGCCCTAAACCCGAAACCCTAAACCTTGAACCCTAAACCCTAAACCCTAATCCCTAAACCCTAAACCCTTTCATGGTTCAGTTCGTCCCTCTAAGGTAGGCGTCCGGGGATCCCATTATAGCGTTCTTAGGGAGGGGGGCGTGTCTTCATACTATTGCGTTCAGCTGACCAATGCTACACCCTAAACCCTAAGCCCTAACCCCTAAACCCTAAACCCTAAGCCCTAAACCCTAATCCCTAAACCCTAAACCCTAAACCCTAAACCCTAAACCCTAAACCCTGAACCCTGAACCCTGAACCCTAGCCCTAAACCCTAAACCCCCCTCCCTGAAGAACCCTATCGTCCCAGCTCACTTTGAGCGCGCTTTTTCTGGGCGTCAGGTGAGGAGCCCCGGGGGCCTCCGCAGCGCGCCGAGGCCGGTTTAGGGTTTAGGGCGTTTAGGGTTTAGGGTTTAGGGTTAGGGTTTAGGGTTTAGGGTTTACGGTTTGGGGTGTTGGGGTGTTGGGATCTTGGGTTGAGGGTTCAGGGTTGAGGGTTTATGGTTTGGAGGTTTTCGGGTTTGGGGGTTTTCGGGTTTTCGGGGGTTGGGGGGGCGGAGGGTTAGGGGGTTTTGGAGTTTTGGGGTTTCAGGGTTTAGGGGTTTAGGGTTTTAGGGTTTCTCATGTTTTACAGAGCTTTGGGCTGTTCAGGGTTTCGGGCTTATAGGGCTTATTGGGATTATAGAGTTTAGAGTGCCTCACTACCGACCAAGTACCAACCGGAGGGGGGCCTATAATTTCTTGTTGATTTGAGGAGCAAAAGGTTTAGGGTTTTAGGGGGTTTAGGGTGTAGGGCTTAGGGTTTGGGGCTTAGGTCCTAGGCTGAAGGTTTACTAGACCCCTTTTGTTTGTTTCGTAATTTTAAACATTCATTGTTGCAGACCATGAACTTGGCAATGGACGGCCTATGGCACCAGAAATCCAACGGGTGGCCTTGCTGTCTACCCACTATCTTCGTGGCTTTCCCCTGTTGGGAGGTTTTTCAGCGTGTTTAACCCGTATGTAACTCTGCCGGGGGTTGAATTAGGGTTTAGGTTTAGGGTTCAAGGTTCAGCGTTTGTTTAGGGTTTCTCTGTAAAGCATGTTGCAACAGGGTTTTGGATTTTACAGTTTGGGCCGAGGGCTTACATAGACTCTATATACACCAGACCCCGTTTTGGGTTGTAGCTGTTTGTTCATGTTCTTGGCCGCTGCTATGTGCAAACAGAGGCGCAAGAAACCGCTAAGATAACAAGCACGAGCACGGTTGGGCTCTGTAGGGTTTAGGGTTTAGGGTTTAGGGTTTAGGGTTTAGGGTTTAGGGTTTAGGGTTTAGGGTTTAGGGTTTAGGGTTTAGGGCCAGGGGGTCCATTTTTTGGAAGGGGCCTCTGGTGCTTGAAAAAGCGGATTCCCCGGCTTGCTAAAATGCCTTGGGCTGCATGCAGCATCCCTCGCAGAGTATGGGTTTAGGGTTTAGGGTTTAGGGTTTAGGGTTTAGGGTTTAGGGTTTAGGGTTTAGGGTTTAGGGTTTAGGGTTTAGGGTTTAGGGTTTAGGGTTTAGGGTAATTAGGGTCCAGAAAATGACAATGACAGACTGCTTTCGAGGCTGAGAGCCCGGAACCCCAAAATCCTAACCTCTCAGGCCACCGACATTCGAAGTTCTAAACCCTAAACCCAAAACCCTAAACCCTAAGTAAACTAGACCCACCCACCCTTCCCAATACCCTACACAGTACCTGTTCACACCTAAACACGGAGCAGCCGATTTCCCCTAAGCCCGAAACCCCCTAAACCCTCTACCCTAAACCCTAAGCCCTAAACCCTAAACCCTCTACCCTTCCTAGGTAGGATCAGGGGAACCCTTAAAAGGGAACCCTTCTGAACCCTCTTCTGGCTCTCTTAAACACGGACCTTATTCAAAGGGTCTATATCCCCAAGGGTCCCCCTAACCCCGTAAACCCTCTACCCTAAAGCCACCTAAATGCGAACTCCGCACGTAAACCTTACAACTTGGGATGTTCCCCCTTCTACTAGCAGTCCTTAATCGGGATGATACTACCCCGTATAATCGTTCCTACCAAGGACTGTTAGTATACTGGGGAACATGCTAAGCGTAAACCCTAAACCCTAAACCCTAAACCCTAAACCCTAAACCCTAAACCCAGGCATAGATTCTTGCAACGTTTAACGCTATTGCACGCGAAGTCGAAGGTCGAGGCTGCCGTCTTCCACGTGGTGGAAGCTGCGCGCCAGGACCTGCCCGAGGCGGAAAGGGTGTAGGGTTTAGGGTTTAGGGTTTAGGGTTTAGGGTTTAGGGTTTAGGGTTTAGGGTTTAGGGTCTCGGAGTGCTTCAGCCTGAGGCGACATGGGTTTGAAGGTGCAGGGATTTAGGGCTTTTAAGGCTCGAGGATGCTCAGGTTTTAAGGTTTTTGTGGGTTTTTAAGGCTTGAGGATTCTCAGGTCTCAGAGTGTCAGGGTTTTGTGGGCTTTAAAGGCTTGAGGATTCTCAGGTTTCAGAGTTTTTGTGGGTTTTCAAGGCTTGAGGATTGTCAGGTTTCAGGGTTTTTGTGGGTTTTTGAGGCTTGAGGATTCTCAAGTTTCAGGGTTTTGTGGCTTTAGGGCTTGAGGGTTCTCACGTTTTAGATTGTTAGGGTTGTAGGTTTTAAGGCTTGGGATTTTCAGGTTTTAGAGTTTCGGCGTGCTTCAGCGCATTGCTTTCGCAGGAGAGCTCCAAGCTTAGAAGCAGTGTTTGAGGGTGCCAGGTGCTGTCTGAGTTCCCTGGTAGACACCTTAAACTGCGGGTTTACGAAATCTGGGACTCCTAATATAGATGGGTTCCCTTATCATAAGGACCCCCAGGAAGGTACCCCTGATTTCGGCACCCCCCCCCCCCCCCCCCCCAAATGGAGGCAGTTTCTCTTCACTCCTAGGCTAGGCAACTGAGCCATGGAGCCTGAGCGGTTTGCTGGCTTGGGCCCTAAACCCTAAACCCTAAACCCTAAACCCTAAACCCTAAACCCTAAACCCTAAACCCTAAACCCTAAACCGGGCCCTAAACCCTAAACCCTAAACCCTAAACCCTAGACCCTAGACCCTAAACCCTAAACCCTAAACGTTTAGGGTTGAGAGCTAGGGTTGCTTGACTGTAGGGCCCCATCGAAGATATGGATGATGAGCCTACTGGGAGGCTCTTCTGGCGCTCGCGTGCCTGGCCTCTACCGACAAAGAGCACCCGGACTTCTTTCCACAGGCCATAGCCCCTAAACCCTAAACCCTAAACCCGAAACCCTAAACCCTAAACCCTAAACCCCGATGTCGGGGGTTTAGGAGGTGGGAAGGCTTTGGGGTTTAGGGGGTTGAGAGGGTTGAGGTTGAGGGGGTTTAGGGCCCTCAAATGCATGCAGGTTTGCTTCGAGTCTCAAACATGCCGGGGCGTGGAGGAGTGGATCCTTTCATAATCTACGAATGGCCTGAGAACCCCCCCAAAACAACAAACACATATTCTTCCTTATAAGGCAATATAGGGATTGTTTTAATTTTTGGGGGGGCTCTTAAGCAAATAGTAGTAATCTGCCTACACAGATGGCCTTTGCTCACATTCGATTTAGGGTTTAGGGTTTAGGGTTCAGTGGCGTTTAGTGAGCTGCGCAGGCTTGAGGGTTTCGCGTCAAGCAGGAGCCGTGGAAACTCTCACTCTTCGTATGGCTCTGAGTATGTCTTGTCATTCTTAGTCTTGGGCATGCGGCATACGGCATGTTTGGACTGTCTTGAGTTGCGAGGGCTTGTCACCCTAAACCCTAAACCCTAAATCTTAAACCCTAAACCCTAAACCCTAAACCCTAAACCCTAAGCCCTAAACCCTAAACCCTAAATCCTAAACCCTAAACCCGAAACCCTAAACCGCGGCATCCGGCCTTGGAAGGGTTTCTGAGAGTCTTCGCTTTCAGGGCACCTCTCAGCTGAACTAACGGGAAGCCCTAAACCCTAAGCCCTAAAACCCCCTAAACCTGAAGGGTTTAGGGTTTAGGGTTTAGGGTTTCCTAGCTAAACCGCTTTTCTTTCATCTTTTGTCTCCCCGCTGCTGGGCCAGCCGCTGCATGACCACTGTGCTTGTCGCGTTCGGGCTTAGGGCTTAGGGCTTAGGGCTTAGGGTTTAGGGTTTAGGGTTTAGGGTTTAGGGTTTAGGGTTTAGGGTTAGGGTTTAGGGTTTAGGGTTTAGGGTTTAGGGTTTAGGGTTTAGGGTTTAGGGTTTAGGGTTTAGGGTTTAGGGTTTCGCAAGGCGACTCCGTGGCAGACCGAAACCTGCGAGTCATATATCGTGAACGTACTCGAAAGGAAATGTAGAACCATGAGAGGAATCCCCTATGACTTGTAAGGAGTATTGCTGAACTACGTTATTTGGGAAGATCGCCCTAAACCCCAAACCCTAAACCCTGAACCCTAAACCCTAAAACCTAAACCCAAAACCAGGATGCCAAGTGGCAGCCCCATTCCAACATAACAATGTATGGCGTCTGAGAACCCTGAACCTCGGTGACCAAACGAACCGGGTTTAGGGTTTAGGGTTTAGGGTTTTAGGGTTTAGGGTTTTAGGGTTTAGGGTTTTAGGGTTTAGGGTTTAGGGTTTAGGGGGGTCATATACCCCAAAACTAGCTGTAGTTCCTGCGAAGGTATCTGGACCATAAACCCTTCTAGGGCTCATGTCGTCCACAAGGAAGTGCAAGAGCCTCCCACACACCCTAAATCCTAAACCCTAAACCCTAAACCCTAAACCCTAAGCCCTAAGCCCTAAACCCTAAACCCTAAACCCTAAACCCTAAACCCTAAGCCAACAAGAACCCCGCAACCCAAAGCCGCGGAAGGTCCAGGGCTCACCAGACCTGGAAGCCACTCAGCTGGCGCAGCTGCCCCAGGAACCCTGGTACCCTAAACCCTAAACCCTCCTAAACCCTGAACCCCTAAACTGGAACTGAAGCAGATTCGAGTGACTCCAACACCGCCGCCTAGCCCTAAACCCACACCCCTCTACAGCGGCTTAGGGTTCAAGTTGCCCCAAGACTCCTAAACCCTAAACCCTAAACCCTAAACCCTAAACCCTAAACCCTACACCCTAGACCCTAGACCCTAAACCCTAAACCCTAAACCCTAAACCCTAAACCCTAAACCCTAAACCCTAAACCCTAAACCCTAAACCCGAAGCTGAAGGCCCTGTCCCTCAGCAACACTCAGGCTTAGTAGCCCAGACGTGCCGTTTTGCACGCTTTTGGTGTTTGGGTTTAGGGTTTTGGGTTTTGGGTTTAGGGGTTAGGGTTTTGGTGTTTAGGGTTTAGGGTTTAGGGTTTAGGGTGTAAAGTTTAGGGTTAGGGTTAAAAAGGCACCAACCCCCAAAATAGGTACCCTATAGGTATGGTGTGGTTACTGGGCTACCAAGCAGACGAGAGACGTGATCCAGCTTTTGGCTTCCCCCCCCCCCCCCCCTTTCTATTCATCGAATCACCTTTTTTTGGGGGGGCGGGGGGGCTTCTACCCCCAAGACCAAGAACCCCAAACATGTCTGCACCTTTCTTGCAGCCTTTCGACCCCCAACCCTAAACCCTAAACCCCGAAACCCCAAACCCCAAACCCTAAACCCTAAACCCCAAACCCCAAACCCCAAACCCCAAACCCCAAACCCCAAACCCTAAACCCTAAAGCCTAAACCCTAAACCCTAAACCCTAAACCGGAATGTGAGGCTCCTGGCAGCCGCTGCGGCCCAGGGGTCAAAGGAGGTGGGGGGAGGGCGGGGTGTTTACCTGACGGATAGGGTTTAGGGTTTAGGGTTTAGGGTTTAGGGTTTAGGGTTTAGGGTTTAGGGTTTAGGGTTTAGGGTTTAGGGTTTCGGGTTTCGGGTTTCGGGTTTCGGGTTTCGGGGGTTCAGGGTTTAGGGTGTAGGATTTAGGGTTTAGAGTGCAGGGTTTAGGGTTTTGGGGTGTTCACAGTAGTAGAGTAGGCAACCTTTAACCTTCGGTATGATAATCACTATATGGTTCGTTCTCTAAATTGTCGGTCCCTCTCGGCTGACCTAAGCCCTAAACCCTAAACCCTAAACCCTAAACCCTAAACCCTAAACCCTAAACCCTAGATTTCATACGTATGATAAGGACCTCAAAAAGGGGCCCTGCTTTTGATATCGAGCCATGTAGTAGTCCCAAAGGTTGACACTAAACCCTAAACCCTAAACCCTAAACCCTAAACCCTAAACCCTAAACCCTAAACCCTAAACCCTAAACCCTAAACCCTAAACCCTAAACCCTAAACCCTAAACTACTTGACAGTTAGTGTCTGGCGCTCCACGGCTTCTTAAGGGCTTTAAGGGTTTTTGAAGGCTTTACTTACGGGCTTTGAGGGTTTAAAGGCTTCTAAGGGTGTTTTGTGTTTTCAGGGCTTTAAGGGCTTTGAGGATTTTCAGGGCTGCAAGGGTTCAAAGCATTTTTAAAGGGCTTTTTAGGGGGCTTTGAGGGCTTTAAGGGTTGTGAGGGTTTAGTTTGTTTCAGTTGAGGGTTCGATGCTTGAAAGCATCGGGCTTCGGCCAGTATTCCCCATTTTTCCGGGTTTAGGTACGTAGAAGCCCAATTAAACCAAAAAGAGCCTTGTTATTCCCAGGTCACTCTACACCCCAAACCCTAAGCCCTAAACCCTAATTGCTTTTAAACCCTAAACCCTAAACCCTCCTAGGTTATTCTTGGGTCTCCTAAAGGCCCAGAGCGCCATTCTGTCCCGCAGGCTATGGCGTCGCTAGCTGCCAACGTGCTTAGTGCCTGCGCAGCAATGGCACGGTCCTCCAGTTGATGTAGGGTTTATAGGGTTTATAGGGTGCAGGTTTCATGGTTTAGGGTGTTTAGTAACCTAGGAATAACAAGGGGGTTTAAGGGTTAAGGGTTACTAAACAGCCTACAAACACTTGCAACTTGGGAGAGGGAGGGTCTTTCATGAGGGTTTAGGGGCTGCAATGCATGATCCGGGCTTAAAGTCGGGAGTTCGGTATTTCTTATCGAGCTCCTTCAAGGGGCTCTTGGGTCTAGGTATCTCAGGGTAGTTATATCGTTCCGTGATGTGGTCCCTTACCTTCTTTAAAGGAGTTCTGAATTAAGGGCCCTCCAGCTTTAGAGCGTATATAAGGGGTATATAAGCAGTCGCCTTTAGAGGGCCTATAAACCCTAAACCCTAAACCCTAAACCCTAAACCCTAAACCGCAAGAAGGTAGTTCCCCCACAAACACGCGGGACAAAATGCGGGACCCTTGTAGCAGCCCCGAGGTTGGCGGACAAAACCCTGAAAGAGAAGCCCTAAACCCTCAACCCCAAACCCCTAGACGTAGGGGTTAGGGGTTAGGGTTTAGGAATTAGGGTTTAGGGTTTAGGGTTTCGCGTGTAGGCAAACCCGAAACACTAGCCCGTGAACCTTAAACCTTGCCCTTGGAACTCTCAGCCCTCGGCCCTGAACCCTAAACCCGAGGCCCTGAACCCTAAACCCTAGGGAGGGGGGGCGGGGAGGTAGAGTGGGGCCCAATCGCGCCCTTTACTAGACCCCACCCCAAAATGAAAATAATAAATATTAAATAAAAAAACAAAAACAAAAAATCAAAATGCCCTCAACCCAGGCAAGGAGGAGAGCGCGACCTCCGAGGAGTTGCAGATGGCCGCAGAACACCTCGAGGCCCCTGCTGCGAAGTTTATCGGGCTTCGGGTTTAGGGTTTTGGGGGTTTAGGGTTTAGGGTTTAGGGTTTGCGTGTGGGGTCTACGTACCCTAAGGCTCCTATGTAGTACCTTTTTGGGGTAGGATACTCGAATCCCCTATAACTAACCCAAAAAGGAACTACATCAGGTAGGGTTTAGGGTTCAGGGTTTAGGGCTTAGGGTGTGGGACTGGGGTTTTTGGGTTTAGGGTTTAGGTTTAGTTTTTTTAGGGTTTATGGTTCAGGGTTTAGGATCAAGAGTCTCTGTGGTCTAGAGCTTTTGGGGTTGCATAGGGCATGGTGTACGGTTTCTAGGGTGTAGGGCAGTGGTTATCTCAGTACGCTAAACTTACCCTAAACCCTAAATCCTAGACCCTATATAAACCCTAAACCCTAAATCCTAAACCCATGTTAATTCAGGGCTTTGGGGTGGGGTCTAGCAACTTTGGTGTCCGGGGCCCAGTGGATTTATGGATTTTGGGCGGCAGGGCATGGGCCTTGAAACTAGGACCCGGAGCAGGTCCGTTTTTAGGGTTGGGGTTCCCTTATAATCCCCTCAAAACCAAAAGGGTAGCCTTTTTGTTCCCAGTTTCTTTTTCTGTTTTTTTTGCGGGGGAGGGGGGGGGGGGGGGGGGGGGGGGGGTTGCTGGAGTGTTATGGCTCTGGGGCTTCAGGGCATTTTAGGGTTTTGGTTTAGGGCTTTAAACGCTCAACCCTAATCACCCTAAACCCTAAACCCGTATTTGGGTTTCGGGTTGTCGGGTTCAGGTTTTGGCTGGTGGACAATTCGAATGGACAGGGATTCTGGGAGGGGGTTGATGGTAAACACATAGTGGTGTAAAAGCACCCGCGAACCGCCGTCCCAGGCCAATCGTAAATCCCTAAACCCTAAACCCTAAACCCTAAACCCTAAACCCTAAACCCTAAACCCTAAACCCTAAACCCTAAACCCTAAACCCTAAACCGCCCTAAAGACTAAACCCTAAGGTTTGTGTACCTGCTATGGGGGCTGCAGGGATCCTTTGGGAAAATCCCTAAACCTCTGCGACCACATGTGAGCCCCAAAGCCTTCATGGAACGCGAAGCCGTGACAACAAAGCACAGGGTTTAGGGTTTAGGGTTTAGGGTTTAGGGTTTAGGGTTTAGGGTTTAGGGTTTAGGGTTTAGGGTTTAGGGTTTAGGGTTTAGGGTTCAGGGTTTAGGTTTAGGGTTTAGGGTTTAGGGTGAAACAGCCTGGGCCTCAACCTTTGCGGACGCGCGTGAGACTTGCGCACGCGGGGGGTCCCAGCCGAGGCCTTTGCTGCCGAGTCGCTAGAGCTGCTGCGGGAGAAGGCGAAGAAGGCCCTGGAGGAGACGAGTTTTCCAGAAGACCCACGGCCCCTGAAGCCCGAAACCCGAAAACCGAAATCCTAAACCCTAAACCCTAAACCCTAAACCCTAAACCCTAAACCCTAAACCTTATGTGTAGGGTTCAGGCCCTGCGGAGTTTGAGGCATCCTCGGCTTGCGCAAGCTCGGAGGCAGGCCTTGAAACGCTTTCATGGGCTTGGTAGGGTCTGGGGTTTAGGGTTTAGGGTTTAGGGTTTAGGGTTTAGGGTTCAGGGTTTAGGGTTTAGGGTTTAGGGTTTAGGGTTTCGGGATTTTGGGTGATGTTGGGGGATTTGGGGGATTTCGGGTTAGGCGTTCAAATTTGCGGCGCCTCACTGAGTGCCGAAGAGCCGGTTGGCGGCTTTCCGGCCCTTCGTAGTCGACACGGGAGGACCGTGAGGCCTCGGTGTGGCAGCTGGATCATCCAGAGGCTGGTTTGGGGTTTAGGGTTTAGGGTTTAGGGTTTAGGGTTTAGGGTTTAGGGTTTAGGGTTTAGGGTTTAGGGTTTAGGGTTTAGGGTTTAGGGTTTAGGGTTTAGGGTTTAGACGTACAACCAGAATCGTTACCTGAGCCTCTCACATTCCCTTTGAAATCACAGGCTCGCCGAACCCTAAACCTTATATAAACCCTAAACCCTAAGCCCTTTAGAACAGTCCTCCGATCCCAGATTACACCTCCTGCACCCCCCCCCCCCCCAGCGAGTTCGTTGGCCCCCTTGATGCACAGAAGCCCTCAACACCGAAACCCTACATCCTACTGGTCCTATCATTTTTGAACCCTATAAGCCTATAAGCCCTCTGGCCTATGTCCTGGACTTGTGACGTGGAGGGGGGGGATATTCCAGATATTTTGCTTTTTGGCTTTGGGTAATGTAGCACAACCTCCATGTGAGAACTACACCCTAAACCTCAAACCCTAAACCCTCAACCTCAAATCCAAAACCCTAAATCCTAAACCCTAAACCTTAAACCCGGCACTTTGATCGACCCCAGGAGTCGGAGGAAGAGGAGGAAGACGAAGATGAGGAGGAATCCATATCAGTGTTTAGGGTTTCTTGTACCCTAAACCCTAAACCCTAAACCCTAAACCCTAAACCCTAAACCCTAAACCCTAAACCCTAAACCCTAAACCTTACAAACCCAAAGGCATTTCATGCCGAAGTCTGACCTCTAGGGTTGCAGACCTATGAGTCCACCCGAAGCCCGAAACACTTACACAACTGTTGGCACCCCGCTCCGCCCCGGACAATTTATTTGGGGCGGGGGAGGGTTTAGGGTTTAGGGTTTAGGGTTTAGGGTTTAGGGTTTAGGGTTTAGGGTTTAGGGTTAGGGTTTAGGGTTTAGGGTTCGGACCCCTGCCCTGAAGATGTTGACTCTAATCGCCCTAGCTCGTTTACATCCAAGACCCAACACTCATAGGCGTTCCCACCCCCCCCCCCCCCCCCCCCTTTGGGGTTTTAGGGTTCAGGCTTTAGGGTCTAGGGTTTAGGGTTTTAGGTTTAGGGCGCACTTTGGGGTTCGGTCTCAGGCCGCAAGTAGGGGTTAGGGCTGAAGCGCTTTCGCAGCAGCGCATGTCTTGGCCGGAAGAGTTCCTGAGCTAGAACCCGTGCTTCGCGCAAAGCAAGCATCGAAGGATTTCCGTCCCAAATCAGCCCGGTCCTAAAGGTTTTAGGATTTGAAGGTTGGGATGTTCCCGGTGTACTAGCAGTCCTTATCGCGATATAGTACCCCCGATTATAACCCTATTATGACTCTTAGTATAAGGGAGCATCTCAAGTTTAAGGTTCGAAAGGGTTAAGCCCTATAGCCCCTTACCGGGCATTAACATAAAGTAGAAGAGCGCGCAGCAGCCACGGAAGAGTGCAATTTTTTTGGGGCTGGGGGTTAATGTTTTAGGGCTGCCTAAGCTGATAATCTTGAACCCCAAGCCCTAAACCCTAAACCCCCAACCCTACCCCCTAAACCCTAAACCCTAAACCCTAAACCCTAACCCTAAACCCAAGCCTGATAATCCCTAAAGTCCTGACACCTTGCAGCCCCGAAGCCATTCAACTCCGTGCCCTGAACACTACGGAACTCCACTATCAACCGTTTTTGGGTCCAGGGTTCAGGGTTTCGGGTTTAGGGTTTAGGGTATGGGTTCGGTCAGTATTTTTTTTCGGGAGTAAGCTGATGCCAAAACTTCGAGTGGTGTAGGGTTAGTGTCGGGGGTGGCCCTCTAACCGTGTTTGGCTTGTCGGGTTAAGGGTGTCTATCTTAATAATGATCGGGATTGTCGGGACTTAGGGTTTCGGATGCCCTAAACCCTAAACCTAAACCCTAAACCCCAACCCTAAACCCAAACCCTAACCCTAAAAAACCCTAAACCCTAAACCCTAAACCCCAAAAAACCCATTCAAGTCGATGGGGACGGGTGTTCGGCCGACCCCGAAACAGCAGGAGGACGAGGAGGAGGTTGATCAAGAGCAGCTCGACCAGATCACGGGCTTACGAGGGTTTAGGGTTTAGGGTGTTAGGGTTTAGGGTTTAGGGTTTAGGTTTTAGGTTTAACGGTTTAAGGACTTTTCTTCCCTAAACCCGAAAGTCCTCGGTGACTTTCGGGGGGAGGTTTTAGGGTTTAGGTTTAAAAGCAGTTTTTTTCTTCCTCAACTTGGGCAAGTTTGGACGCGATCTATGATGGAACGCTGCTGCTGCTGCTCCCCCTAAACCTCAACCCTAAACCCGAAACCCTAATCCTAAAACCTAAACCCTAAACCCTAAACCCTAAACCCTAAACCCTAAACCCTCACCTCTAGTTGCCATTGAGACGGTTGTGCAGCTGAGGCACAACTGTCTCCATCGAAGGACAGCCTCCACTTCCATGAGGGTTTTAGGAAAAGAGATGACGGGTTTGGGTTTAGGGTTTAGGGTTTAGGGTTTAGGGTTTAGGGTTTAGGGTGGAGGGTTTAGAAGATAGAGAAAAGTTATTTACTCGAGGGTTTCGCAACTTCTGGAGAGACTTGAGGAGAAGGGTACAAAATACGTGCCAATTCCTCCAAGAAGCAAGTGAAGCCGGGCATCGAACTAGAAGGTCACAACCAAAGCCATGCAATGTAGTGCATGTATTGCAGACGTTCTGGTTTTCTGTTTTGCGCTTCCGTATGTAAACATAAAGTCACCATAGAGTTCCATCACTGTTATTTCAGAATTACAGTTTATGGACTGTTGATTTCATATGTTCACCCTTATTGGCTGCTTATTCTCAGCAATTTAATGGATCTTAGGGTTAGGGTTTAGGGTCTAGGATGTTAAGTTTAGGGTGTAGCGGTTTACTAGACCCTAAACCTGATCCATGAATCTTAAACGCAGCTTGCTTTAAGAAATAAACGCCTCGATCCCTGGCCCGTCAAGACGAAGGCGTTTCCGAGGGGTTTGGGGTTTTCGGGTTTATAAGCTTTCGGGTTGCTTGCTTGTTTTAGAATAGTTGTTGAGGGTTTACAGTTTACACTGCGTAGGGTTCGGATGCAGCGTCCCTCCGAGAGTATCCGATGCCCTAAACCCTAACCCTAAACCCTAAACCCCAAACCCTAAACCCTAAACCGCCGGGCTCTGCTCAAAGCCTGGCGCAATCCCCAAGTTGCCTCTGGCGGCCCGCACGGCCACTGCCCCCCTGTGGCGCACGTCTGCCGCTGTAGAGGTGCAAAGCGACCCGCATGGCCACTGCCTCTCGTGGGCACGTCGGTGGGCCGTTAAGCCAGGAAGTTCATGTTGCGTGGTGCTATGAGCCTTAGCAGCTGAATGAGTAACACTTTACACGTTTTGGGCTACCTTAAACTCCCCCCAAAGAACTGAAAGTGTACACTTTTTTTTTTTTTTTTTTTTTTTTTTTTTCGGGGGGGGGGGGGCTTATATGAACTCAGCAACTAAGGAACGGTGCCACAAGACAGACCAGTCCGAGACATGGATCCAATTAGAGACTGTGGTGGAAAGCTTCGGCTTGTCTCTCCAACGCTACAAGAAGTCGTCTGGCTTGCTCAACTGGCTGGAGGAGGCACAGGGCAAGGTGCTTCTCCTGGCCGATTGGCGTGAAGCGAAGCCTTTGGTTGAAGGACTTGACCGCTTGGAAGCTCAAGGACGGCAAGACATCGAGGTTCGGCTGTGCATCGTGGCTACGTCAAAAGCGATCCATCGTCGTGCTTCACAGTGGGCCGAGACAATCCGGCAGGATGGCGGCATGGAGATTGTCGTGTTGGACGGCTTCTCATGCGAAGGCATTGAAGACTTCATCACGCAAAGCGTGGCAAAGACCCAATCTTCCTTCAACGTCCAGAAGAAGATGGGTGCTCCCTGTCCCATCTCCTACACCCAGGATGTCGGCCCCACTTCGTGGCAGCCACCGAAAGAACCCAAAGGAGGGCCCGGCAAGTATGACTTCGCAGCCGAGATCACTACACCTCTGTGTATCAGGCTGTCCTTCTCAGCCTTGATACGAACATTGCAGGACCCACAGAAGGCCACAAAGTTGGAGGAGATGATTCGGTGCACCATGTGGCAGCAGCTCTATGAGGATTGATGAGGCGCCAAGCCGAAAGGGCTCATGGCATGCTTAGTCCCAGCAGTTTCCCTGCAAAGCCTGCCTGGGTTTCAACACCTTGCTCAAGGAGGGTATTTTAGGGTTTAGGGTTTAGGGTTTAGGGTTTAGGCCCTTTTCTCCATCAGCTACTCAGGCGCAGGGGACCTACAAGTTTTGCTCAAGAAGCGTGGTGGGAGGGGAAGGCATGATGTGTAGCTGCTGAGATAGAGAGCTTACTCCTGACCTTCCAAGCAGTCAGGTGGGTCATCCTAAACTTTCAACCCCCCGAAACCCTGAAGGTTTAGGGTTTGGGGTTTAGGGTTTAGGTTTAGGGTTTAGGGTTTAGGGTGTGGGGTTTAGGGTTTAGGGTTCAGGGTTTAGGGTTCCCAGATTACCCAAAATCCGACCCCGCCAGGCTACCGTACTGGGTCAGCTAAACGAACACTGAAGTGAGTCCAAGGTACATGCACAGCAGGAGTACCAAGATCATCCCCCTGGCAAAATATATATATATATGTGTGTATATGTATATGTGTATATATATATAGGTATACTGTATATAAATATTTATATATATATAGGTATGTATGTATGTATGTATGTATGTATGTATGTAGGTATGTATATATATATACATATTTTTAGTTTTTTTTTTTTTTTTAAAAAAATTTCGACTTTTTCGTATCATAATATCGACAATCCAGATTGTTTCCTCGAAGCAGATGGGCATCTATATATATATATATATATATAATACAGATATGAGCCTTACCAGGTGTTACATGTTGCCCAATGACTGTGAAACCCGAAACCCTAAAACCTAAGCCCTCAATCCCAAACCCTAAACCCCATCGGTTATTCTAGTTGAAAGTGCTTGACGAGCTTTTCACCTTCCACCACTTTGGTTTTAGCGTCTGAGGGATTAGGGTGTTAGTTCTTTAGGGGTTTAGTACAGGTTAAGGGGTTTGGGGTTGGGGGCTTGTGTTTTACGGGGTTTAGGGGCGTTATTTGCTTATTGGTTCTTAAACAGGGAATGAGGGAAATCGGCACCTCGCATCCCTAGTTGCATTACCCTTTCAATGGTACGTACCTGATTCCCTCATTCCTTGCTAAGAACCGGTGTTTCCGGGAATCCTAAACCCTAAACCCTAAACCCTAAACCCTAAACCCTAAACTTCAGTGTTTGGTGTCAACAGGTTTACGGTTGGGCAGTGTTGCAGCCTTTGTTCTGCCATGTGCAGAGCTCCTGGATCCCAAGGTTTCTGATAAACATTTAGCATGTAGGGTTTAGGGTTTAGGGTTTAGGGTTAGCATGTCGGGTTTAGGGTTGAGGGTTTCAGGTTTTTTTCAGACACAGGGGCCCAGGAAAGAAGGAGGTGATTCAGAATCGAGGCCTAGTGAAGTGCTGGTGGACCACCCGAAACTGGGTTTTGGAGTACTATACTTTAATACTTGTTTTGGTTCTGGGTTCCTATTAATAGGTACTTAGACCACCCTCAACCCTAAGCCCTAAGCCCTAAGCCCTAAACCCTAAACCCTAAACCCTAAACCCTAAACCCTAAACCTTAAACCCTAAACCCTAAACCCTAAACCCTAAACCCTGAACCCTGAACCCTGAACCCTGAACCCTAAACCCTAAACCCTAATTCTATACTTTTTTCCAGGGTCTACTCCAAAGCAGGGGTAAGAATGAGGTCGCGAGCTAAATTCATTTTAGTGCCCAGGTGTGTTGGCGGAGGGTCCCGTGCAGACTTCCATGGCGTGGTCTTTTTTTTGAAGTCTAGCAATGGAGCTCAAAGAGCTCCCAAGTATCCTTGGCGAAGATAACATAGGGGTCGGAATAATTACGACTAATTACTAGTATTCCCTTCGGGTCCCTTGATATTTCTACTATAAACGCCCTCAAAACCCTATTCAAATCATGAAGGCCCCTATGATAGGCTGAGTGCAGACTGCAGGTGAGAAGCGACATTGTGTGTGTAGGCTTGCCGTGCATCTTAGTATAAGGGTTTAGGGTTTAGGGTTTGGGGTTTGGGGTTTGGGGCCTAGGGTTTAGGGTTTGGGCACCGGGGCATTGCCTTGCGGTAAGCGATGGTGTTCCATCTGCAAGAAGGGGCACGCTACACCAATCAGGTTTCCAAGGGTCGAGCAAACTATGGCGACTTTGTGTTTTACCATATGACCCATATACTACGCAGTATACATATATACTATATACACTATACATACAAATGGCAATATACAGTATGCACTATACTTCATACGATGTACAACATGCATTATACACGATGTCTCCGTTCATATACGTTTATACGTATATATATATATGTTTACCTCCAGATATCCATCCACACACACTTCTCGTATCTGCCTATGTATGCATGTATGTACGTATGTACGTATGTACGTATGTACGTATGTACGTATGTACGTATGTACGTATGTACGTATGTACGTATGTACGTATGTACGTATGTATGTATGTATGTATGTATGTATGCGTGCACGTGTGTATGCATGCACACCATCCACGAATCATCATACACGTGCTGGATGCGTGATCTATCTATATATATATATATATATGTGTGTGTGTGTGTACAGGTATTAAAATCGTACACACACACACATGTATATATATATATATGTATTCATACATACAGAACTATATATTATAACTATACACACATATGTTTATGCTGTCCAAATGTACACACATACTCTTTACTGCACCTAAATAACACAGTGGTGTCGGCTGTATACTATTTGAGCCCCGGGCTACAGGGCATAGGTGATTGTAATGATGCGTGATCACGCGCAGTCCGGCTCTGCCGTTACGAATTCGTGCACGCAGCTGGAGGCATCACCAGTGGCTCCATTGGTCTATGCTTCAGAACTTCCTATCCCTGAGCAATCCCGGGCACTCACACGACAACCCTTGACAACATTGTTCCGCACCCGTCGCAACTGTTTCCCGAACCTGCTAAGCCCCGAGTTCCTACATGCCTCAATCTTCAAGGCTTTTCCGGGCCGACGCCCCATGCCTTGAAGGGTGAAACATTCTTGTGCGTCAAACTTGGTAGCCTTTGTGGGGTTCAGTTCAGTTAACTAAAGTAACCAGCCCCAAACAGGGTACCCTTACCATAGTGTGGTTTAGGGTTTAGGGTTTAGGGTGTAGGCTACCAGGCAAGTACTGTTGCTTGCTTTCTTCAGCTAGTTGCCAGCTTCCATGACATGCCAATCGAAACGCATGTCGGCCTTCTTTGGGGGGCCAGGTGAACCCTAGAACTGGGATCATATACCTCTACTACTATATTTCCTATTGAGTCATATGAACCACGCAAAACCATATGCCCCAAACCCTAAACCCTAAACCCTAAACCCTTTTGGGTTCATTTCCTCCCCAATTTTGCTACTGCACTCTACCACTCTGCGCTATCCTCTGCAGAAGACAAAGGCAGCCTTGCATTTCAGAGGCGGAGTAGGATTCCCTAAGCCCTAGAGCCCCTAAACCCTACAACCCTAAACCCTAAACCCTAAACCAGGGGGCTGATCGGAAAGGCCTGAAGCCCTCAAAATCCCTGGAAGCCGTTAGAACCTTAACCCCTAAAGCCCATAAAGCCCATAAAACCCTTAAAGCACTCAGAGCCCTCAAAAGCCTGAACACCCTAAAACCCTTGAAATCCTTAAAGCACTCAAAGCCCTTGAAAACCCTACAGCCCTTAACCCCCTAAAACCCTTAAAGCCCTCAGAGCTCTCAAGAACCTAAACCCTAAACCATAGACCCTTAACCCTTAAAACCCCTAAGCCCTTAACACCCCTAAACCCCAAACCCCAAGCCCTAAACCCTAAACCCTCAACCATCCCAAGCCCTAAAGCCCGCAACGGAAGGACTTTTGGCTGGGATGCCCACGGCTTCACCGGCGCCTCGGGCGCGCGCCGGGCCGCGGCGCTTTTCGCGAAGGTGGGGTTTAGGGTTTAGGGTTTAGGGTTTAGGGTTTAGGGTTTAGGGTTTAGGGTTTAGGGTTTAGGGTTTAGGGTTTAGGGTTTAGGGTTTAGGGCCAAGTTCACGGATTTAGGGTTCAGGGTTCAGGATGCTAGGGTTTAACGATGGGTTTCTGGATTTAGCATATGGGTAGTTCTCGAGATTGAGGTCCCCTGTCAGGTCCTCATTACAAATGGGTTTAGGGTTTAGGGTTTAGGGTTTAGGGTTTAGGGTTTAGGGTTTAGGGTTAAATGGGTGCCGTCTTCTACAGAAAAACCGAACGAGTGAGCCTAATTCAGAGAACCATTCATGAAGAGGATTCTTGCTATGCTGGACTCAGGTACTCTAAAGAGCACTGCTCAGCGTGTCCCTAAACCCTAAACCCTAAACCCTAAACCCTAAACCCTAAACCCTAAACCCTAAACCCTACACCCTAAACCCTAAACCCTAAACCCTAAACCCTAAACCCATTTACATAAGAACCAAAAAGGCGCCCCCAGAAGGAGGGATTTTGGGCTTACAAGTTCTTTCAGGGTTCAATGTTGAGAGTGAGGACTTGGCTCAGGATTTAGTTTAGGGTTTAGGGTTTAGGGTTTAGGGCTTAGGGTTTAGGGTTTAGGGTTTAGGGTTTAGGGTTTAGGGTTTAGGGTTTAGGCCGAAACCCGTGATTTCGGTGTGGACATTCAGGGATTACCGGGTTCCTTCAAGTATTCGCGAATGAAGCATGCCTTTTGCTTGTTGCTGGGCGATCTCATTTGGGTTGTGGACGCAGGGGTCTACAGTCGATTTGGGGGTTGGCCGGATTGGGCCTAGCTCAGAATGCTTGAACCCTAAACCCTAAACCCTAACCGTTGAGGTTTTGTGGGCTTAGCATAGTCCGAGACCCCACGCCCTAAGATCCCAATCCCTACAGCCTGAGTACACCCTTCTCTGCCCTGGGCAAGCGGGACCCGGATATAGTCCCCCAAATAGTAGGATTCCCTTATATTAGAAGGACCCGCAATGAGGTACCCCT